TGAGGAAGAAGACACATATATCCCATAGAGGCCTGACAAGCTAGGTTTTGCTTTATTTATTTATTTTTCTCCTGCAGGAAGATTTGTGACCCAGGTCTCACTTCATTTGAGCCTGAGGCCCTCGGTAACCTCGTGGAGGGGATGGATTTCCATAAGTTTTACTTTGAGAATCGTGAGTGGGTTCGTGCTGCTGATATACTCCTGCCTGCCCCTTCACCCCTTTGCCTCTGCCCCCTGCTCACCTCCTCATCCTAGTTACTCATTTCCCTTTTATTTGACCTTCCTGTTGCATCTCATTCTGTATGCTTTCCTCCTTGTGCTCTGCTAGTCTTGTGCCCTGGTAGTCTTAAACTGGCACCTTAGAAGGCCCTGCTCCAGAACCCCAACTACCCATTCATTCTCCAACTGCCTCAGGGCAGTGCTGGTCACCACATCAAGGTCACTGTATTTCTTTAAGCCTCATCTCTTTTCAAGACTGATTACAAACCCTTTGAGATTAGATTGAGATGATATCAGCAAGTAATAATGAAGCTCTGTGTCTGCAGGTTTCATAATAGAGGAAATTAAAACCAGAATAAGAATGTACAAGCAAGTAACTGGACATTGGTGGAAATTTATGAGATTGGAAGTAGTGGCTAGAATCCTTCAGAATATTAAGGGAGGCAGGCATCCTGGATTGGGCGGGGGGGGGGTGGGAGGGATTTATACTGGATAGTTCCTAGCAGTTCCAGGAGATAAGGAATTGAATCATAACCACCCTCCCATCTTTCTCTCTACTCTCAGAACCACTCCCCACCCCTACTCCTATTTTTTCCTCTTCTTTCCCACTTTATCCTAGGCCTTTTCCATTCTCTCCTAAGTTTTATTTTGTTGCTGCTTTTTCCACTGACTCCCACCCTCTCCACATTTCAGCTGCCTATATAAACCCTTGGCTATCTAATTCCAGAGTTCCTCTTAGTTCTAAGGAGAATCTCCTGCAACCCCTATGTAACTGTGGAATTAAACTAAAAAATGAATCTCAATAAAAACCTCACAGTTATACAGCCTATGCTGATAATGGCAATCCAACTTCCTTTACCTTTCCCCAAGAGGATGCTGGGAGCTCTGGGGATAACCTGAGCTGCGTGCTTTGGTTATTTTATTTTAACTTTGGTACCTTTTCAAGTTGTAAATCTATTTTGAATGTTTTGAGTTCATGATTTTACTCTGCAGCAGCAACAAGCCAACCTTACGAAATCTAAACATCAGCCTAACAGAGTAGAGAGAAGCTGGGATGTGGCCTAGTGAGACAGTGCTTGCCTGGCATGCACAAGGGCCCTGGGTTCAATCCCCAGCACTGCAAAAATAAATAAATAAGTAAAAGTCAAAAGACCATATAGTCATATGAGCCTCCCATTAGAGTCATATGAGTTTGAATATGTGATTTGGACAGATTAATCTCCATGAGCCTATTTCCTTCTTATGAAGAAAATATCAACAAAAAAATACATCTCATGCATATAAAATCTCCAGTACAATGCCTGATTAAAAGAATAGCTGCTATATTGATATTGTTAGCCACATTTATTTCTTTTGGATAATTGAGTCTAATATAATGGGGTATCCTGACCTCTGGAGAGTATATGGGGAACTTGGAGATTCTGTGAACAGTTGCTAGTGGGAGGGTGAGACTTGGAAGTGTGGGGAGGGAATAAAATGCTGGTGCCCAGGCTTGACACACTCCTACCTACCCCACCCTGCCCTTCCCCCTGCAGTCCTGTCCAAGAACAGCAAGCCCATCCATACCACCATCCTAAACCCACATGTCCACGTGATTGGGGAGGACGCAGCTTGCATCGCCTACATCCGTCTCACCCAGTACATCGACGGGCAGGGTCGGCCTCGTACCAGCCAGTCAGAGGAGACCCGGGTCTGGCACCGCCGGGATGGCAAGTGGCTCAATGTCCACTATCACTGCTCAGGGGCCCCTGCCGCACCATTGCAGTGAGCTTCAGCCACAGGTGCTTGTGGTAGGGGAGAAGGGGCAGGGAGGGTTTGGGACAGGTGGGGTCAAAGAAGGAAGAGTAGGCTAGGAGGTGAAACTTGGGAAGGAGGTATGGGCCATTCCAGAAGAAGGGCAAAGGCTGGGGAGTGTGGTTGAAATAAGTTACACTCTAAACTCTCATTTTTAGAGTCTGCTTCTATGACTCCAAATTAGGTGCACACAGTTACTTATCCTCCCCAAGTCTCAGTTTGCTTAGCTGTTAGAGAGGATAAGTGTGGTGCTTACCTCCTTAAATTTTTATAAGGGTTAAATAAATAAAATACTATTAAGTAAAGCACTTACTAAGAACTTAAATGTGAGACAGTGTTATATTTAAACATTAGCTTCTCCCCCACCTCAACTTTCTTAGGCCCTAGGACCTCATCTGTGTGCTCATTGTCCTCTATTCTATTACCACCTTCTGTCCTGTTTAACAGGGGGATTAGGAGATTCCAGCTGGAGGTCGAACCTTCGAAGCCAGTGGCTCTGGAGGGCCTGAGTGACAGCGGCAGTCCTGTTCGTTTGAGGTTTAAAACAATTAAATTACAAAGCGGCAGCAGCCAATGCACGCCCCTGCATGCAGCCCTCCCGCCCGCCCTTCGTGTCTGTCTCTGCTGTACCGAGGTGTTTTTTTACATTTAAGAAAAAAAAAAGATTGTTTAAAAAAAAAAATGGAATCTGCACCATGAAGCGTTTCAAAACCACCTACAGCTCTTGGGCTTGCAAGAAGACAGGAGTTTGTGTGATGCCCATCCTGGCATGAACGTTGGGCTCACCCACCAGTCCTGAAGAGGTGAGCTTAGCCTCAGAACCCCCACGGACCCAGGGGGACCAGGCAAGGACTCTGACAGAGCTTTGGGGGCCATGATGTGATTATGGCCCCTGAGGTGGCCTGCTTACCCCAGGTCTAGGAGTGGGCTTCTTCGGAAACTGCATAAGCACCTAGAAAGAAGCTGATGAAAACACCATGGCTGTTAGACCTACTTGAGAGAGAATGCAGAACTCTCAGCCAGCTGTGGACGCAGCTGAGAAGCAGTGGCCTCAGGACTGAGGTCCCGGACTTTGCTGTACTGTTCATTTAGCATAGAAGGGAAGAGAATTGGTGCTGCAGAAGTATGTCTGCTATGAAGTTGATGAGAAACCTCGTGTTAGTCTGACATGCACTTACTTACTCATCCATTTCTATAGGATGCACAATGCCCTTGGGCCCTGATATTGAGGCCTAATCCCTGCAGGTGGGAAGGGGAGGTTTTGCTGCTTTGCTTCGTATTTGTGTTCTTGATAACTTAGCAAGGAGGGAGCCAGGCCCTGGTCAGGGCTCCCTTTGTCGCCTTTGGCAGTTCTGTTTCTGGACCATCTTTGTCTTGCCTTTTCATGGTGGTGGTCCCCCATGCTGACCCTCATCTGGACCTGGGCCCTCTGTGAAGTGCCCCTGTGGGATGGGAGGAGTGAGGCAGTGGGATAAGAGGTGGTGGTTGTTTCTATGCATTCAGGCTGCCCTCAGGGTTGCCTCCCTTCTTAATCTTCTCTTGCTGCACGTCCATCTCTTTCCCTGTCTTTGAGATTGACCTGAGTGCTCTGGCAAGAAGCGTCCTCTTGAAAGAGGCCTCTACTGACCAACTGAAGTATAGACTTACTGCTGGACAATCTGCATGGGCATCACCCCCCCCTCACCTGCATGTACCCAAAAAAGGTGTCCAGAGCAAAGACTCCTACATTCATTGTCTCTCTCTGCTCAAGGAGTTCCATTCCAGGAGGAAAAGATCTACCCTAAGCCAATATGAGAAGATAATGGAGGAGCAATTGGTCATAGCCTTGGGTTTCTCCCAAAACAACTGTGCATATTTATCTGCACAAATATCTGCACTTTTGGGGGAAAGGTGGGTAGACTCCAGCTCCCTGGACTAACTTCAGGAGGCACAGGAGCTGAGAAAAGAGGCAAAGCTACAGGTTTACTTTGGAGCCAGCTGAGGAGAGCAAACTCACAGGTGCTGATGCTTGGATTTAGCAAGGCTCCTCTAGCGCCTCATGCATGCCCCAGCCCCTGGGCCCTACCCCCCACCCTGCCCTGCAGCCTGCAGTGCCAGCTCGCAGATACCTTCACCACAGGGTTTGGTTTTGCTGGCTTGAAGACAAATGGTCTTAGAGTTCATTGAGACCCATAGCTTCATATGGCTGCTCCAGCCCCACTTCTTAGCATTCTTACTCCTCTTCTGGGGCTAATGTCAGCATCTATAGACAATAGACTATTAAAATAATCTTTTAAACAGGAAATGGAAGGCATTTGACGCAGAATTTTTGCATGACATAGAAATAATTTAAAAATAGTGTTTGTTCTGAATGTTGGTAGACCCTTCATAGCTTTGTTACAATGAAACCTTGAACTGAAGATATTTAATAAAATAACCTTGAAACAGTCCATTGTGTTATTGCTGTTGGAGGGGGCTTAGATTTTAGCAACCTGCATTACAAGGCTTTAGATGGAGAAAAGTATCTTCTCCCACTTCCTTTTAGGATTTTTTCAGAAGAGGATTTTCTTATAGGCCTCCTGGCTGCTAAGGGGAGTTAAGGGGTGGCAGAGATGATGCGGGCCCTTAAGAGGTGGGCTAAGATGTGGGGGCACCCGCCTGTAATCCCAGCGATTCTGAGGCTCCTAATACCAGAGGTTCCCAAGTTCGAGGCCAACTTTAGCAATTTAGTGAGGCCCTAAACAACTTTAGTGAGACCTTGACTCAAAATAAAAAGGGTTGGGGATGCAGCTTAGTGGTTAAGCACCCCTGGGTTCAATCCTTGGTACCAAAAGGGGTGGGGATGGGGGAGGTGGGCTACGGATTTCGCCACGCCTCCGGGCCCCGCCTGCGTCCCGGGCTGGCCCCGCCCCTGCTCAGTGGGCCGGCCCGGCTCCCCCTCCGCGGGGCTGAGTGGACGAGCCCGTACCCTCGGCCCGCCCCTCCTCTGGAGCCGCGGCGCCCGACGCTCACCAGACTGTGCCACCGTTTGGGGTGTAGGGGGTACGCTTCTGCGGGCTGGGCGCGGAGCCTGGCGACTCCTAGGCCGCGGCTCGGGCAGAGCGCACCGGAGGACTATTTGGGTTCCTCACGCCTCGGTCGCGCGACTGCCAGGCTCGGAGCTGTCGCGACCCGAGTGGGTGAAAAGAGGGGCAGCGCGCCGCCTCCCCCAGGTGGAAGGGGTGGTTGAGCCCGGCTGCGGTAGAGCGTTCGCTCGGAGATGGCGGAGCCGCCGCGACGCGGCCGGAGGCCCGGAGAGCAGGGAAGCTGGGCAGCCCCGGGACGCGGCGGAGCCCGGGGACCGCGGGGACGCCGCCCACTCCGCCGGGTGAGCCGCCCTTGAGGAGAACAACCTCCCACATTCAGAGTGTGCCCCCCGAACCCGATCACCCTCAGTTCCTCACAGACTTCCCTTGAGTGTTGCCACCATAACCACCCGCTGGGTCGTCCTGGGCGGCCCTTCAGTGCGGCCCTCCTCGCCCCTCGCCCCTCGCCCCGAGTCCTTTCCACTATCTTTCCTCGGAGTAGCCTTCTTCGCCTCAGGTCGCCCCCCACCTCCAGTACAGGGGTCCGTCCCCTCGGGCTCTTCCAGCCCAGTACCTGCCTCGATGTCACCCCCGCGTCAACTCGGCGCGACCCTTGTGCCCTCTCCTATTAATGCTCCCCTTCCCCTTAATGCCCCCCATCCGTGCCCTCATCTCCACCTGTGACCCCGTATTCCCCGCAACAGGGTCCCCCCTCCGTGAGCCTCGGAACCCATTCGGTTCCCTTTCCTCCACAGCATCTGCTCTGCTTGTCTCCCGGGACAGGGCCCACACCCCCAAGGCTTCCCGGGCCTGTTAGTGTTGGGACCTGATGACCCCTTGGTTTCTCCTCCTCAGAAACCTATTGCTACACACACATCTCCCCCATGTTCTTCTTCCAGTGTTTATTGCCTCACCCTAGTAGGTCTCTCGTCACTTCTTCCCCAAATATTAGTGCTTCTTCCAGTCATGAAGCTAAAAATGCAGTGGTTAACCGCATGGGCTCTGAAACTTGACATGCCTGACTGAATCCCAGTTTCTCCACTGACAGCTGTTTGGTCCTGAGCAGGTTACTAAGCTTCTCTGGGCTTCAAATTAGTCATGTAAAATGGAAATAATATTATTTACTTCTTCCCTCCTTCTTAGGGCTGGTGTGAGTATTAACTACAGATGCTCCTAAATTTACCATGAGGTTACATCCTGAAAAACTCATCTTAAGTTGAAGATACCTACATCAAAAATGCATTTAATACACCAAACCTACAGATCATCCATCATAGCTTAGCAGTACAGTATACTGCAAATTATCATTTGTTTAACCTTCTGATTACATGGCTGTATGAGAACCGGTCACTGCCACTGCCCCTATATAGCATTAAAAAAGAGTATTGTACTCCACATCCACTAGCCCAGGAAAGGATCAAAATTCAAAATTCTTTGGGCTGGGGATGCATGAGACCCCAGGTTCATTCCCCAGGACCATAACAAAACAATCCCAAAAGTCAGATTATGTTTATACTGAATGCTTGTCATTTGTACACCATTGCAAGTTGAAACATTCTAGTTTGGGGACTATCTGTATAGGTCAAACTCTCAGGGAAATCTCTGGCAGGTAGTAAGCTTGCAACAGATATTAACTGAGCTGAGCATGATGACATGTGCCTGAAATCCCAGCTACTCAGAAGGCTGAGGCAGGAGGGATCACAAGTTTTGAGTCTAGCCTCAGCAACTTAGTGAAACCATGTCTCAAAAAAGGGTTGGGGATATAGCTCAGTGGTAGAGTGCTTGTCTAACATGCATTGGGCCCTGGGTTCAATCTCCATACTACAAAAATAAATAAATAAATAAACTTATTAACGTGTTATTAACATCAATTTGCCCCCAATGACTTCTATTCACTACTGTTTTCCCTAAGAATTTCTCTGATTTTTAGGATTCACCCCTTTCCATGACCTTTTTATTTTTTATTTTTTTATTTTTTTTTATTTTTTTTTTATTTTTTTTTTTAAAGAGAGAGTGAGAGAGGAAAGAGAGAGATAGAGAGAATTTTTTTAATATTCATTTTTTAGTTCTCAGCGGACACAACATCCCTATTGGTATGTGGTGCTGAGGATCGACCCGGGCCGCACGCATGCCAGGCGAGCGCGCTACCGCTTGAGCCACATCCCCAGCCCCCCATGACCTTTTTAAAAATTTTTTTTGTTTTGTTTTATTTTGTTTTATATGGTGCTGAGAATTGAACCAGGGCTTCGCATGGACGAGGCAAATGCTGTACCGCTGAGCCACAACCCCAGCCCTCCATGACCTTTTTTTAATTCTTTTTTGGTACTAGAGATTAAACCTAGGGCCTTATCATGCCAAACACATTTTGCCACTGATCTACATCCCTAGTCCCCCATCACAGTTTTTCTCCTTCCTCCCAGCTCTCTTTATTAGTTTTACCCAGGCCAAAGCTGAACTCTTTTTTTTTTTTCTTTTTTTAATATTTTTTTCAGTTGTCAATGGACCTTTATTTATTTATTTATATGCGGTGCTGAGAATTGAACCCAGTGCCTCACACATGCTAGGCAAGTGCTCTACCACTGAGCCACAACCCCAGCCCCAAAGCTGAATTTATAAACAGCTCTCTCAATTCTAAAGAACTCTGTCTCTATTCACCTCTGGGGTGTATGAATTGGAATGGATGATAGAGAGGGATTGCTAGCCAATAGCTTTACTGGGAGTGGTGAAGGTGAAGAGAATGACTATAAAGCTTCCAGAAGCAATCTGATAAGAAGTCCCCCAAATTATATCTCCTTGAAACTGTGTTTTCAGATCATGCTGCCCTTGCTCATTTTCATTGCCATATTATGACTTAACCTCCTGTTGCTCTCTTATCTCCCATTCAGATTTTTTGTTTATTGTTTTTTTGTTGTTGTTTTGTTTTTTGTTTTTGGGGGGTTTTTTTAGTTGTAAATGGACACAATACCTTCATTTCATTTATTTATTTTATGTGGTGCTTGGATGAAACCCAGTGTCTCATGCAAGCTAGGCAAGTGCCTTACCACTGAGCCACAACCCAAGCCCCAGTTTGTTCTGTTTTTGTAACTGCATCTACCTTTCATGTCTCTCCAGGCTAGTTCAGAGACCCTTCTGAGCTATTCAGGAATGGGGATATAGTACCATGTTAGAAAGGAGAATTGGAAAGGACAGGGAGAGAGATTCTAGTCTCAACTTTCTGGCTTTTCTCAGGTTCTAGTGACATGCCTGCTCTGGGGCTCCATTTTTATCTCTTCTTACTCTGACACAGGTGAGGTAAGGGCCAGAGGTGGGCAATTTTCACAAGCAATGGAAAAGAGAGTCTCATAGTCTCCAAGTTAATTAACTTGAAAAGTAGATTAATAGAATGCTTAGCACCATCTCTTTTCTCTTTGAGTTCCCCCACTATAGTGTCCATATGATTGCAAGTTCGTTAGTGCTGTTGGCTATGATGATGGGTTTGATTGATGCAGAAGATTAACAGACTCATGAGTTTCCTTTTATCTGATAGTTCGTTGGGGCATGGGACTTCTGGGACTTTCAGTCCCTTCCTCACAGTAAGAACAGAACTTTTGCTCGTTGGCCAACTGTTCAGTCATGGGTTGAGAACTCCTTTCAGAACAGGCCCATTTTCAATCTCCTAGGCTGTTTGGCTTCTTATAGATGGGAGAATTCATTTCCTTACAAGTTGTGAAGCTAAGGTATAGTGTTCCACTTGTGTTCTTTTATAGAAGCTTTTTTCCTTTCTTTTCTTTTCTTTCTTTCTTTTTTTCCTTTTTTTTTTTTTTTTTTTTTGAAAGTAAATCATCCAGTGAAGAGGAGGTAAGAGAAATGAGGTAAGGGTAAGGAGAATGGATTTTTTTGGGGAGGGGGTACTGGGGATCGAACTCAGGAGCACTTGATCACTGAGCCAAATCCCCAGCCCTTATTTATATTTTATTTTAGAGACAGGGTCTCACTGAGTCACCATTGCTGAGGCTGGCTTTGAAAAGAATAGATTAATATAGTTTAAAGGGAGAAGTAACACATTGATTTCTCTGTCTTACAGATAGTGGGGCCAAGATTGTGAACTTTACTGACATTCTGATGTGAGGAGCTCCGCCAGAGCCAAAAGTGGAGCCTGGCTAGATTTGCAGCCTGAAGCCATGGGCCAGGGGGCCATGGTGACTTGAGACCTGTAGACTCTGTCCAGTTACCCCCTGCTGTTCCTTCTACCTCCCCTACCCTTTACTAAGTGAACTTGTCTCACCTTTTCAGGGAGCTGACCCTGAGGGAATCCCTTTCCCTTATTTTCCTATCCTTTCATCCTCTCAAGACAGTTCCAGACTATAGAACTCCTACCTCCCATCCCCTGTGGTGGTTCCCATCTCTCCCTCATTTCCCCCGCCATGCTTCAGCTGTGGAAGGTGGTACGCCCAGCTCGGCAGCTGGAACTGCACCGCCTCATACTGCTGCTGATTGCTTTCAGCCTGGGCTCCATGGGCTTCCTGGCTTACTATGTATCCACCAGCCCCAAGGCTAAGGAACCCCTGCCCTTGCCCTTGGGAGACTGCAGCAGTAGTGGGGCAGCTGCCCCTGGCCTTGCACGGCCTCCACTCCCTCCTCGAATGCCCAGGCCTCCAGAAACAGCTCGAACCGAACCAGTGGTCCTTGTATTTGTGGAAAGTGCATACTCACAACTGGGTCAGGAGATTGTGGCCATCTTGGAGTCTAGTCGTTTTCGTTATAGCACTGAGTTGGCACCTGGTCGAGGGGATATGCCCACATTGACTGATCATACCCATGGCCGCTATGTCTTGGTAATTTATGAGAACCTGCTCAAATATGTTAACCTGGATGCCTGGAGTCGGGAACTACTAGATCGATACTGTGTGGAGTATGGTGTGGGCATCATTGGCTTTTTCCGAGCCCATGAGCACAGCCTACTGAGTGCTCAACTCAAGGGCTTTCCCCTTTTTTTACATTCAAACTTGGGACTACGCGACTACCAAGTGAATCCTTCTGCCCCTCTGCTGCATCTCACTCGCCCTAGCCGCCTGGAACCTGGGCCGCTGCCTGGTGATGACTGGACCATCTTCCAATCCAATCACAGCACATATGAACCAGTGCTTCTTGCCAGCCTTCGGCCAGCTGAACCCCCTGTGCTAGGACCAGTGCCTCGTCGGGCCCGACTTCCCACTGTAGTACAGGACCTGGGGCTTCATGATGGCATCCAGCGGGTGTTCTTTGGCCATGGCCTTTCATTTTGGCTCCACAAACTTGTCTTCGTTGATGCTGTTGCATACCTCACTGGCAAGCGCCTCTGCCTGGACCTTGACCGCTATATCTTAGTAGACATTGATGATATCTTTGTGGGCAAAGAAGGTACCCGCATGAAGGTGGCTGATGTTGAGGTCAGTCTTTATTTTTCCTTATAATTTTTTTTTAGAAACGGTTCAAACTCTGGCCTGTTAGACTCCCTGTCTTGGTTCTGAGTTTGTCACAGGAATGTTTCCTGCCCTTTCCAGACAAGGAAGAATACTGCTGCTCATGTATCTCTTCAATCTGCTGGGTCCTGATTACTCTTTCCATTTATGTCATGTTCCTATTACTCTTCCCAGGCTCTCTTGACCACCCAGAACAAACTCAGGACTTTAGTCCCCAACTTCACCTTCAACCTGGGCTTCTCGGGCAAGTTCTACCATACTGGTGAGCTTACTCCCCTGCTCCTTCAGCACATCAGTCTTAGTTTGATCTGTCCCTTCACTGTTTATCTCCCTGGGCAGACAAGTTGGATAAAAGGGGTGAGGTTTGGGGTCAGATTACTGTGAGGAGCTTGTGATAGACATGAATTTAGTGTGATTAGCTGGAGATTAAGTTGATAAATAGGAAATCTTGGGTGGGCAGAGGGTCATAATATCCCAAGGGTAGAAGGTGGTCAGTGTTTGTTACAAGAGTACTCAGTCTGACTGGCTGTGGTCAGTGGTCAGTGTGTGGTCATAGGGACAGAGGAGGAGGATGCAGGGGACGACATGCTGCTGAAGCACCGCAAAGAGTTCTGGTGGTTCCCCCACATGTGGAGCCACATGCAGCCACACCTGTTCCACAATCGCTCCGTGCTGGCTGACCAGATGAGGCTCAACAAACAGTTTGCTTTGGTGAGACCCTTGAATCTCTTACTTTCTCCCAGAGGTAATGCTTCCTTTTTAACCTTCCCCCAATGGGTCCCTTTCCCTACCCTTTTCAGTTTTCTTTCTATGGAGGCATCCCCACCCTCTTTACCCTCTACTCCCCAAACCTCACCAGGTCCTGGTGAGAGTCTATACCATTCCCAGGAGCATGGGATTCCCACGGATCTGGGGTATGCTGTGGCCCCTCACCACTCGGGCGTGTACCCCATCCACACGCAGCTCTATGAGGCCTGGAAATCTGTGTGGGGCATCCAGGTGACCAGCACTGAGGAGTATCCCCATCTCCGTCCTGCCCGCTACCGCCGTGGCTTTATTCACAATGGCATCATGGTGAGGAACTCCCACACTTAGCCTCCAATCTGCATTGTCTTACAGTTTTACCTACTAGTTGATCCATATATAGGGGGTAAAAATCATTATTTAAAAAAAAAACACTGCACATAGTAAGTGCCTTATTGCTTTAATTTCAGACTGAGCCCTCTATAAATCCAGGAAACCCCAGGACCTCAGGTCTTTTATCCTACATCTATTTCAAATTCTACTTTTCAGGGATGGGGATGTGACTCAAGCGGTAGCGTGCTAGCCTGGCATGCGTGTGGCCCGGGTTCGATCCTCAACATCACATACAAAGATGCTGTGTCTGCCAAAAACTAAAAAATAAATATTAAAAGAAAAAAAAAATTCTACTTTTCAAACTTCATCTATCCTTGTTTCTTTTCCTTGCAGGTGCTGCCCCGGCAGACATGTGGTCTCTTCACTCACACAATCTTCTATAATGAATATCCTGGAGGATCTCGTGAACTAGACCGGAGCATCCGAGGAGGAGAGCTCTTTCTGACAGTGCTACTTAATCCGGTAGGGTGCTAAGAGGAAGGGCTAGAAGATTGGACAGCCAAAATGTTTGCAGGCTGGGACCTTTACTCACCAAGGCTGATTCTGAGGTGGGGTAGGCTTCCAGATCTGACATGCAGGCACCCCCTTGCAGATCAGCATCTTTATGACCCATTTGTCCAATTACGGAAATGACCGGTTGGGCCTGTACACCTTTGAGAGCCTGGTACGCTTCCTTCAATGCTGGACACGGCTGCGCCTACAGACCCTTCCTCCAGTCCCTCTTGCAAGAAAGTACTTTGAACTTTTCCCCCAGGAGAGAAGTCCCCTTTGGCAGGTAAGGGTGGAGCTCAGGCTGACTAGAAACATAATGGGATGGGGACTTAGGAAATTGGGCCTTATCAGAATCTTGGCCTTGCCTTCAGAATCCCTGTGATGACAAGAGGCACAAAGATATCTGGTCCAAGGAAAAAACCTGTGATCGGCTCCCCAAATTCCTCATTGTGGGACCGCAGAAGACAGGTAAACCTTCCTTAGCCAACTTCTCTTGCTCTACCTTAAAGACTCCTTTAGCAAGGAATTCCTTTCTCATATCCACTCCTCCTTAATCCAAACTCCTGCAACAAGGATTCTTTTTTTTTTTTTTTTAAATATTATTTTTAGGTGTAGTTGAACACGATGCTTTTATTTATTTATTTTTATGTGGTGCTGAGGATTTGAACCCACGGCTTTGTACTTGCTCTACTGCTGAGCCACAACCCCAGCCCAACAAGGATTCTTAACCCTAGTTGTATATCAGAATCATCTGTGGAGTTATGTTTAGTTTCTTTGTATGTTTTCTGGTATTTTGCAGTGCTGGGGATTGAATCTAGGGCCTTACTCATGCTAGGCAAGTGCTCTACCACTGAGCTACACCACAAGCACATGTGTAGAGGTTTAAAAAGATCCACAGTGATTCTGATATTACAATCAAGACTGAGTGCACTATTTTAACCCTTTCCTGGGCCTCTCACAGGTCATTTTTCTCTCAAAATAGCTGGATCAAAGGGAGTTTTACTATCCAGAGTGGTTGTTTTCTTATTTCCTTCAAACTCATGCTGTTCAGCTGGTGTCTTCATCAATGGCCTGGTCCTTCTCTCCTATTTAGGGACCACAGCTATACACTTCTTCCTGAGCCTGCACCCAGCTGTGACTAGCAGCTTCCCTAGCCCAAGCACCTTTGAGGAGATTCAGTTCTTCAATGGCCCTAATTACCACAAGGGTATTGACTGGTGAGACTGAGACTGCTTTGAATGTTTCTCAGAGAAACAGTTCCTTCTCCCAGCTTCTACCAGCAGACATCTGGTTTTTTTCACTCTGGGCCTCTCCTCTGCTGCTTCCTAGGTATATGGACTTCTTCCCTGTTCCTTCTAATGCCAGCACTGACTTCCTGTTTGAAAAAAGTGCCACCTACTTTGATTCAGAGGTTGTACCACGGCGGGGGGCTGCCCTCCTGCCAAGAGCCAAGATCATCACTGTGCTCACCAATCCTGCTGACAGGGCCTACTCCTGGTACCAGGTCTGGCTGAAGCTAGGGACACATTGGGGCTTAAAGAGAAGGTGGGTGTGGGGGACTGGTGATTACTAGAGAAAAAAGAATGATGGTAGGGAAACAGCTAGTGCCTTAGGGAGGGGGTGCCTGTACTTTCACCAGACCAAGAATAAGGACAAAATAATTCTGATAATCACCTGTCCCTTCCCTTCCTTGTTCTTTAGCACCAGCGTGCACATGGAGACCCAGTTGCTCTGAACTATACCTTCTACCAGGTGATTTCAGCTTCCTCTCAGGCCCCTCTGGTACTTCGCTCTCTGCAGAACCGCTGTCTTGTCCCTGGCTATTATTCCACCCATCTACAACGCTGGCTGACTTACTATCCCTCTGGACAGGTACAATCCCCCCAAGATCCCTCCCTCATTGGGGTTCACCTTCCCTTCAGCCTAGAGGATTCTTAGGAATCTAGAGGGAACCACATCCCTATCCCTTTAGCTGCTGATTGTGGATGGGCAAGAGCTGCGAACCAACCCTGCAGCCTCAATGGAGAGCATCCAGAAGTTCCTGGGTATCACGCCCTTTCTGAACTACACACGGACCCTCAGGTGGGAGAGCATGACTCAGTGGAGGAATCTCTGGGTGAAGTGGGGAAGCAGGCTGATCACATATATTTGGAAGACATGGATTTACCCTGTTTCGCAAAGAGAAATGTGTCCTTGTGGACTTGGGAGGGGTAGTACACATTTGTGGGGCTTGAATTTCTCTTCTTCCTGCCACCAAATGTCCTTTTTCTGTTGAGCAGGTTTGATGAAGATAAGGGATTTTGGTGCCAGGGACTTGAAGGTGGTAAAACTCGATGTCTAGGCAAAAGCAAAGGCCGGAGGTACCCAGATATGGACACTGAGGTAAGTAAAGTCTGGGAAGGATAGACCTATTCCAACTCTAGGGTCTGATTCCATCCTGCTCCTTACTATTTGTGTCTCCCTTCATTTTTCTCCTGTCAGTCCCGCCTTTTCCTTACGGATTTTTTCCGAAACCATAACTTGGAGCTGTCGAAGCTGCTGAACCGGCTTGGACAGGCAGTACCCTCGTGGCTTCAGGAAGAACTGCAGCGTTCCAGTCTGGGCTGATATTCCCAGCCTTCCATTACCAGCAAAAAGCAGGGCCCACAAGGGGAATAAGAGTGGCCTGACCCCTCCCCCTTCTACCTCAGTGGCCCCCCAGGCCTGCGATGGCTGAGAAGGAAGGGTATCTCTTTCCCATAGCTCTGGGGCCTGATAGTGGGGCTTTACTTGGTACCCCATGTCATGGTACTAGGTACCTTTGACCCATGAAATTGGGAGGTGGGAGAAATAAGAGGGTCCAGACAAGGTGTAGAGGAATGTAACATATTAATCCAATGATTTTCCTCTGGAGTCCCAGCAGTATATCTATCTATACCTGGCTAAGAGAGGGACCTTTTATTGAGGCCCCTTTAGTCAGGCAGTGGATCTACGTGGGGCCCCGGCCTCCCTAATGTCATTCACATTGAATGGGGATGAGGTCGTACAGTGGCTCTTAGAGCTGAGTATGAGCCCAAGCTGTGGGCCAGAAATGTCCATAATAAACATCCTTATTTTTCTGTTTCGTCTACCTCACTGAAGTGAAAAAACTAGAATAAAGCAAATATCAGATCTGTTTTCCCCCTGGCTCAAGGATAGCAGCAGCACATGGAGAAAAAGAAGGGAAAGGCCCAGGCACACTAGAGTAAAAAAGGAGCTTATATATTTATAAATGCCAAATAAATACCATAGGCCACCCAACGCCCCCTCCCAGACAGGGCCGTCTCCCCGAGCCCTAAGTTTCTAGGGTCTGAGACATCTTGGCCCCAAGCTACAGCCCAAGAGCAGCTGCCAGTCTGGGCTACCAGGGAACTGAGTGGAGATGATCTGTCCAGCCAAGATTCACTCCCTCTATGTGAGGGGCCCCCATAGCCATGGGCCTGTGTCCCTGTATAGGGCCCTAAGGGTGCCAGACTCAGGGAGAGAAGGTGGTCATCTCTAGTGAGACCCGCTGCCACAGCTCCTTGGTCTGTTTGCTGCGCTTGAGGTTCTGCAGGATGTCGTTGAACTGCATCATGCCCATGGGTGTCAGGCAGAAGGCGCTGCGGGCACTGCGGATCGCATTCACAAAGTCGTCGTAGTCGGCAGGGGTCAGGTGAATCAAGCGGTGGTGGATGTACTGAAGGACGTGTGCAGGGTGAGCCTTGGTACAAAGCACAGAACCACACCCCTCCTCCCTTATACACTAAGCACTCTGGTCCATAACTACCCAGGAGGTACTCCACCCTGCCCTGTACTTCCTGAATTGTCACCTGCATGTATGCCTGCTGGCAGCGCTGCACCAGTTGGTGGAAGGCCGGGGCACGCAGATGGTTGTGGGCATGAGCGGGGCTCAGCCGCTGCAGCGTCTCCATGACGATCTCCTGCAGCACAAACGGGCTCAGCACCCCCTTGGCTGCCCCCACACAGAACTGGTGCACGTAGTTCACTCCTGGGGGGCAGGGGGGAGGGGCATGAGACGGGGGTGGCCACCTCTGCCCTAGGGACCCAACTTACATATCTCAGCTCTGGCCTGGCAGAGAGCCTCCCTCCACCCCAGGAGCTGAGGTAACCCTCCGCCCCCGCGCACGCACACATACCCGACCAAGGCCTCAACTCTGAGCAAGAGCTAGGAAGGAGGTCTGGGATAGGAAGGTGGGGGGAGCAGGTCGGGGGGACAATGGTCCTGGGGAGGGGAGGTGTTACCCAGCTTTGCTGCCAGCCCCAGCAACCATTTGACATCATCAGTGTAAGGGGGGGAGCGGGAGAAGTTGTTGGGGTGATCGTTGTGTGCCCGGCGACCCAGCATCTCTAGTGCCAGCATTCCTGAGAGAGATAAGGGTGAGCACATAGTAGGGTGCATCCTATTATTACCCTCTACCCCAATATCTGATCCCATATTTGACCCCATAATAAGCAAATTAAGAGCTAGTAGAAGGGGTCTACTGAAGGAGTACAGAAAGGAACTTTCTCTCACCAACACGATAGGCAGCATGCAGGTGGTGCAGGCTGTGTGGATTGACAGGTTGACTATGTGTCTCCTCCTCAGGTGGTGGAAAGCCCCCACTAACCAAAGGGCTGGGCTGTGTGGTCAGGGCAGGCAGTGAGGCACCCTGGATGGCTGGAAATGTGGATGCTGGATGGACACTGCTCACTGAGGGTAGAATGAAAACCATGTGAGACTTAGCACAAAGAGGGGCAGAGAAGACTCCCACCCTACCTCCCCTGTCCACTGTGCCTCCCCTCCATTCACCTGTTCCCTGTCCCCACAACTCACAGGCCACACTGGTGGGCAGTGGGAGCCCTGGCTCTGTGTGGTAGGGATGGACTGTGATGGGTGCCATGGAAGGGACAGGGAAAGACACAGCAGTGGCAGCAAGTGAGGGAGGTGTCACTGAGTAAGGGTACTGAGCCCCCAGGAATGCAGGATGCACACCCTAGAGGCAGGGGGAGAAAGAGAAGGAAGATATCAAGTTATATAGTAGGATATAGCTCTGCCCCTTCACCCTACAAATGGGTATCCCTACACTTATGTTAGGCTGGGTCCCCCCAGATTCCCACCACCTCATCAGGACTTTTGGAAGTATTATTATATTCCCAGAGTACTACCCCACTCCAATCAACCCTCCATGAACTCCCAGTGTGTTTCCACATGTCCCACCCTGAAAACAGCATGATACTGGTCTCACCTGTGGGTACGCAGAGCTGGGCACAGGGAAGACGGCAGGCCGGGGCATATGAGGCATGGGATGGGCAGGGTGAGCTGGGTGGGTGAGGTACTGAGGGCTACAGGGCAGGTGGGGCTGTAAAGCAGTATAGGGGTGCAGGCCAGGAGAGTGACCATGCCCCAGTCCTGGACCTGGATATAAACTGGACCCCACTGAAATGACTGGAACCACTGTGGCTGCTGCTGTCACTGCTGCTGCCGCCACTGTAACAGGTTCAGTCCCTGGGCCCCCCCTGCCCTCAGGCAGCCCCCGCCCAGCCTCCCCAGCTGCCCTGATCCCAGTGGCACTACAGCTTGTAGCCCCCTCACGGGCTGTGGATGAGCCACCTGCTGTTTGCTCATATAGCCAGAACCACTGGTGAGCAACCTCAAACAATACTTCGGGGTACACGCCCCCACCCTTAGCCGCCTCTTCCACTGCCATGCAGGCCTTCTCCAACATCAGGTTATCCTGGAAGGGAGGGGCACAGAGTGTTAAGTGGGAAAGACTTTATCCCAAGAATGTTGTCAGATGACATTCCAATGGCTCCCTCTGAGTTAGCTAGTTGTGGGTAGGCATCAGAGGTCAGGGTCAATGCTCAGTTACTGCTTCAGATGCTGAACAAATACTTGCTGACCAATAGAAGACCCAGATAATAGTCCCAGTTCCAAACTAATTTAATCACCCCTCCCCATCCATATCTCATTCTCTCTCTGAGGTCTTCCCCAAGTTTTCCATTCTGAGTAACCATCTTGGTCTCTAAACTACAAGCCTCTATTTCCTTAACAGTAAAATAGGAATAATCCTAACCTTAGGATATGATAGGTGTGAAAGTATATTACAGATTGAGCATTCCTAAATTCCCAAATCTAAGACTTTCTGAGCACCAACCTGATGCCAAAGATGGAAAATTTCTCACCGTGAAACTTGGTTTCATGCACAAAATTGTTTAAAATATCGTGAGATTACCTTCTGGCTATGTGTATAAAGTGTATGAAACAAATTTCATGTTTAGACTTGGCCCTCATCCTCAAGGTATCTCATTATGTATAGGCAAATATTCCAAAATCTAAAATCTGAAACACTTGGGGTTCCAGGCATTTCAGATAAAGAATATTCAACCTGAAATGTTAAAATGTCAACATAAAAAGACAAACTGGATACTCTGTGAACCCTCTCTTTTTTTTTTCTTTGTGGTGCTGGGGATTGAACCCAGGGACCTGTGCATGTGCAGCAAGTACTCTACCAACTGAGCTATATCTCCAGCCCTACTCTGTTAACTCTTGAAGATAGGAATCAAGAACTGGTTCCTCCATTTAGGCTCGGCAACACACCTATAGTCCCAGACACAAGGGAGGCTAAGTAAGAGGATCACAAGTTCTGAGCCAGCCTGCACAACTTCAAGACCCCTTTTCTTATGACTACTCTTTTAAGAGTAGTCATAACTCTTTTTTAAATTTTTTTTTTTAGTTATTGATAGACAGTGCTGAGAATCGAACCCCATGCCTCACACATGCCAGGCAAGTGTACTAATGCTGAGCCCCAGCCCCAAGACCCCTTTTCAAAAAAAAAAATAGGGTCCTTCACATTTCCCCATGCCCAACATTCCTGCCCAGGTCCCCAGATTGCCTTTAGAAATACCTGCTCCTTGCACTGCACCAGAGCCCGCTGGATTTCATTGGGGTTCAATGCATGGGCATGAGGCAGGCAGCTTAAGGCCAGCTCTGCCGCTGCCCGCACCATATTGGAGTCTCGTGCCCGTGATGCTCTGTCAGCCAGGGATGCAACCTCAGGGGGTGTCAGATGCCCATCCCAGCATTCTACCAGTATAGTCAGGGCTGCACTGCCAATCTCCATTGCCTGCCCTTCAGGGAAAGACCACAGTGGGGTTAGTGTGGGTACCACTGGAGTATAGGGATGATGTCTCTCGTTAAATCAGTAATACCCCAAAGTTAAGGCTCTTGTCTCCACCAGTTAACCCCACTCCTATACCCAAATCAGGACATTAGATTTACCTGTAATCCAGGAGACGTGAGAAGAATAGGTACGTGACAGCCAGTTGGGAGAAACAAAGTTGTGCAGGCCAAGGGCATAAAGCCCAATCTCGAAGGCGCAAAGGTGCAGGTTGCGGTGAGGACCCTGGTGGCCCCCTGAGGAAGATGGATGTGTGAAAATGGAAGTGCTGCTGTTGCCCCCTGCCTTGATCAGCACTGTCTTCGCCAGCTCGAAGTAGAAGTGTGCAGCTGCCTCTGACGGCTGATTGGGTACATGGGGGGCATGACTCTCTGGGCGGCGGCCCTTGTACCTAAAGGGGGCAATGGGGTAGGGACGGGGATGGGGTTTCTTTGAAATGGGTGTCCAGATAGGTTGAGAAGGACCAGGGCAAGGGAAGAGGTTAGGGACAATGGTTGGATTACACTAGGGATGTAGCTCTGAGGGTAGTCCAGGTTAGAGCAGATGGGTATTTCTTCCAACTGACCTGCCAACTTCAACTGTCTTTGTGCGGGCCCCTCCACTGGCACTGGCTCGGCGACTTCCACTGGAGGATGAGGAGCCCAGGGAATCCGAGGAAGAGCTGCTAATGCTGTCACTGTCTTGTCCTCGACCCCAGGAGGTGGGGGCCCAGCCCCCTCGAAGTGGCCTCCGGCTTAAGGTGGGGGAGCTATCCGATGTTGTTTCAGGGGCACTGCTGTCGATGCTAGCCATGCCTAACACCCCCCAAGACAAGTCAGTCTCAGAAATAGGAGTCCCTGAAGTCAGACTCCAACTTCAGGTATATCCTCCTCTCCATGTCATTCTATGGGCTGTCCTACCTGTATGCTTCTTCTTGGGCCGC